ACTTGCCCCCCAACCCCCCAGCACTTTCCCCTTTTCCTGCCGCAGCCCCCCCGGATTTTCCCCCCACTTCGCAGTGCCCCCCGTGCGAGGATCATTCCCGAGGAGCCGCCGGCGCCGTGCTCAGCCAGCGTCCCCACAAACCCCTCCCGCTGCTTCCCCAGCTCCTCCAGCAGCTCCGCACCTCCTTATCCGTGAAAATCTGGATGAAATCCCGCAGGGAGAAGCAGCCGGTCTGCAGCATCAGCTCCCCGGTGTCCTCCACGCAGGGCCCCGCGAACACCAGCAGCTTGTGCTGCGACACGTCCGTGATGAGGTTCCGCAGCTGGGGACGGAGCGGGGGACACGTCAGGACGGAGGGGACGCCCTGGGGACAGCGCCGGGGTGGCCCCAGCGCGCCCTGCCCGCCTCACCTCGTCGCACAGGGATTTATCCGAAGGGTTCAGCAGCACCAGGGTCTCCAGCACGTCCCCGCGGTGGTGGAGGGTGCGCTGACCTGCGGGGACACGGTGACAGTCACTCCCCACCCCGCTCCAGCCTCCCAAATTTGTCCCCCAGGGCCAGGCAGTGCCCGGTTTTCCGGAGGAAGAGGGACGGGCGCGTTCCCGGACACGGCGGGGGCCGAGGGAAACGCTTCCCGTGTCCTTCCTGCCACGGGGAGGGGAGCTGGGGGAGACTCCCTGAAATGCTCTGGGTGGTCCCAGGAGGGGTTTTGGGGGTTTAACACCCACTGTGAGCCCAGCCAAGGGTGGGATGTGCTGGGGGAAAAAGCCCTGGAGCTCCAAATTCCCCATTCCATCCCTCCACGGAAAATCCCAGCCGGGGTGGGAGAAGGAAGCGGCTCCTCACGTGGGGGGATCACGGGGTTTGGATGAGGGGGGAGGCACAAAGCCAGGCCTGTTCCCACAAAATCCGGGAGGAGAAAATGGGGAGGGGGCGTCCCTGACCACCAACACCCCCTCCCACCACTCCCCGGCTCCTGGGAGCGATTTTTCCCCCAATTTTTCCCCGTTTTTTATCCCGTATTTCACCTTTCACAATGCTGGAGAAGGTGGCCGAGTGCCGGGACACGAAGAGCTTCAGCTGCTCGTCCAGGTTGCAGGAGGCCAGGTCGATGTCCCACGAGCGGATCCCTGCGGAGAAAAACACGGAATAAAAAAATAAAAACTTGGGAATAAAAAAAAAATTGGCATTTTGGACCCCAAAAAACCCTGAAATCCCCCCCCAAAAAATCCCCAGCTGAGGTGATTTTGGGGTGTCCCCAAGCACCTGGTGAGCTCCTCCTGCCGTGACTCACGGCAGCTCCGGCTCTGCCAAATCCCAAATCCCGATCCCCCGGGGCACGGAACAGCTCTGCCAACGCCTCCTCAGAGCTGCCAATTATGGAATTACCAGATTTGGAGCTACCTGTCAGCACCTGGACAGGTGCAGAGCCCAAAGATCGCTTTGAGACTCCACAAAAAGGGATTTTGGGAGCTTATTCCCAAAAATTCGGGTGGCTCCGGGTGCTGCCGGTGGCGGGGTGGGGATGGTGTAACGGCCCCGGGGGTTGCACAAGAGTTTGGGGCCGTTTTGGGGTGGTTTTGGTGAGGTTTGGGACGGTCCCAGAGCCGGGGGACAATGGATCAGGACTGGGAATGTCCCTCCCGTCCTGGTTTTGGGATCTGATCCCGCTGGGATGGCACGGCCTGAGACCCCCCCCCAAATCCGGGCAGGGCTCAGGGAGGGATGTGGGGGCTGGAGGGGGGTCCCTAAAATACGTGGGGTAAATCCTGGGGCAGGAAATGGGGAAAATCCTGGGAATTTGGGGGGCAGATCCCGGGGGTCTGGGAGGACAAATCCTGAGAACCCCCTGGGGGGAAGATCCTGGGAATTTGGGGAGCAAATCCTGGGAATCTGGGGGGAACATTCTGGGGGCTTGAGGGGCAGGGAAAGGAGCAGATCCCGGGAGTTTAGGGATGAAAATCCTGGGGATTTCGGGGTGCAAATCCTGGGGGTTTCAGGGTAAAAAACCTGGGAATTTCGGGGGACCAATCCTGGGAATTTCGGGGTGCAGATCCTGGGAATTTTGGGGTGCAGATCCTGGGAATTTCGGGGTGCAGGAAAAGGGGCAGATCCTGGGGGGGGGTCAAATCCAGGGGGAGCAAATCCTGGAGGTCTTGGGAGGAGAAAGAGCTTGAGGATTCATCTCCCTGAGGATTTCGGGGCAGGAAAAAGGGGCAGACCGTGGGATTTTAGAGGGCGCAGATCCCCGGGGGGGGGGCAGGAATTGGGGCAAATCCCGGGAATTTCGGGGCGCAACCCCCGGGAACACAAAGAGGCAGGAGAAGGGCAGATCCCGGGGGGCTGGGGCAGCCCGATAAGGGGCGATCACACCCCGCTGCTGCGGGACCGAACGGAGCATCCCCGGGCTGGGTGGGGGGGAGCGGGGGGGGCGCTCCTCCGGTGGATGCGGGCGGCGCCGGGAGGATCCCCCCGGAGCATCGCGCGGTCTCACCTCGCTCCAGCTGCTGCAGGGCGGCGGCCCTGAGGCCGGGCCGGTGGCAGCCGCCGCCCACGATGGCGAGCAGCGAGAAGCGGCGCGGCCCCGAGGCCGGAGGGGCCGCGGCCACCGGAGCCACCGGAGCCGCCGCCATCTTCGGCGCCCCCCGCCCGGCCCGCCGGCCACGCCCCCTGCGTCACCGCCGGGACCGCCACGCCCACTGATGTCACCGCCAGCCAATGGGAGGCGCCGGAGGGGAGGCGGGTGGGCGGGGCGGAGGTGGGAGAGAGGCTTCTTAAAGGGGCAACGCGCGGGGTGGGGCAGAGGGTGGGGTCCGCGCGGGAGGGGTTCGGGGTTCGGGGTTCTGGGCGGGGGATTTGGGGTTCTGGATGGGGGTTTGGGGTTCTGGGTGGGGGGTTTGGGGTTCTGGATGGGG